TTGCCATATTTAATCTATCTATCAATAGATTAACAAGAACTGAAATGTTTCAAATTAGTTCTCTACATTCTAAATATATCAGGATATTTTTGTAGAAATTCAGTTTTAAAATTGATCATACTTTGTTGTCTGCTAATTACTCTGACAAGCCTATAAAACTATGAAATAAAACTATTACGAAAACCATAAAGACATTATTAATTGGCTGAAAACAAATACATGTATCAAATTAACTCACATTTACTGGATGCTAGCTCATATATCGTCTTAACGTTGCATAATTCAGTGAGATGGAAGAAATATAGACCAAAGAGCAGAGCTACTAGTTTCGAATACACCCTGCAGGTCTAAGCATAAACGTTTTCTGTACCCCAAACGACCGAAAGCTTTTGTGCCTAGACCTAAGGGGTGTATTCAAAACTAGTAGCCCTGCTCTGAGGTCTATATTACGATTCGAACATGAAAACTCACCAGAATATTGCAAAATCGTCAGTTTCGATGTTCATTTCTACTTTTTTCATTTCCACTTCCAGTTGAGTGTTTGGCTGTTCCAATTTGTTTACTTACCTCCTGACCCTGACTTTTTTATTGACATTTCGGCCTATTTCATTGGTTTCACATATATCTACTACATTGATAATTATTGAAATTAATTCTATATTGCACAGAAACAAAAAAATTACAGCGGATATCCATATAAAAATTGAATTTTGCAAAAAAGAGCGGAACAGCCCAAACTGACCATTGAGTGCACTGAACGAAACACTAGTACAGATCTGGGGCATTGATCTCGAATATAACCCAGCTGAAGCATTGACTTTGTTCACAGTTTATAGAAGGCGTGAATACAGTCATGTTCGAATTATGTATAATGTGTTTTATGGATGTATCCAGCATATTGCATTGAGCCGTCTACAGTACCATGATCAAGATCTTTACATGTAGCTGGTGAATGTATGACATGCTAAGAATGAGAGCCATGCCCTCGAAAAAAGACAAGCAAATAGTATAAATTATGCATATTGAAAGTTTTGGCAACAATCAATACAGGAAATCATAATTTATTGAATTAGTAGGTGGTAAAAACTAGACTAAAGAAACCGCAGTAGTCTAATATGTAAAGGCCACCTTTCCCAAGGCGTAATATAATCAGAAAAACAGCAACTCCCAAGAGTAGGAAATCCCACAGAATACACTCATCATGTTACATTTCATGATAAAAATCAATGTGTATAGTAGTATTGTCTTGTAGCTGGACATGACATGACATACCATATTTAAAATTCCTTCTTGCCAATAGGACATATTGAAAATTCCTTCTCAAGCAAAGATTCTATGCTAAACATCACCCTATAAAACTTGAACTAAATTCTGTATCCTGGTATTTGTTTTTACCTTGACAGAAATAAAAAAAATGGACAACTTCTCAATAACCCAAAGTTTGGGTAGATAAGTTGTAACCATCTCTCTATATACTACTACATTGGCAGGTCTGCTACAGTTGACTAATGAACTTTTCTAAAATGTCAGTGATCTCCCCAGCATTAAAGCAAGTTGGCGTAGCACCCACCTGATATTTTGAAAATAGGCTTGTACGCACCTGAAAATCCATTTCACCCGCTTGAAAATGAGAAAAATCATGAAAATGGGCATATTTTGACCAATTTTGGTCTGATTGTAAAAAAGAGAATTTTGCACCCACTTGAGAAAAAATCCTACATGGAGATCACTGCATGTCATATAACACTTTGCTATTACCTCTATTCTACATGGCTGATATGCAAATACAATATCATACTTAAATGTCAATACAGCACTTAAGAATAAACTGTTAGAATGCAATTACAAGATAATATATTGCAAGTAAGAGACTTAAATTCAAAAACATCTCTTTCTAGTATTTGCCCATTTTGTAGAAAATTCTTTCCACTGGAGGGGATTTGACTTCAAACTAATACCCAGATGTAGAATATATAAAACTATTGCAAGATTCATCTCTCAAGAGACTTGGTGTCAAATTTGATATTTTTCATAATTAGACTTCATCTTTCACGAAACTGCACATATATAATTTACATTAATCTATTATTCTGACACTTAACATTTTTACTTTTTTCTTTATCCCGCCTTTATACGATGATTTAAACCAAATCAATGCAAAAATATCAAGTTTTAGGTGCTTAAAAAGGAGGATAATTCCCAAGGTTCAAAGATGCCATCAAGGTCACACCAACCTAGAGATCCATTTTGAATAATAGCATTGATAATTCCATACAAGGCTTATAAGACCATATAAGAAATGTGCTTCAATAAAAAAAAAATCAGTTTCTAAAAAATCTACATCTCCTTCTAGGAGTGAATCACTTCTACCAAGTGCTTTAATAATAAGAAACACAATAGTTTGACAAGCTGCAGTATGACAAGGTCATACTAACCAGACGCCATTGATTCTAGTACTGTAGTACATGTATTTGCACAACTATTATAAACAAAGGCAAAAACCAATGTTGAGATTCAGTTCTTCAATTATGAATAGTACACTACGTTGTAGATTAATTGTAGGTTAACTTTAATCATGCTTCTTGTTTTATTCTGTTAAATCTATGAAATACTTGACAAGTTACTAACTGACCAGTAAATATCTTCATAAATATGTAGTCTTACTTCAAGAAATCAGGACATATATGTGCAAATGTCAGAATGTGGTATCTGTAGTGTAAGTCACTATTGAAGCAAAATTGCCTTTATGAAAACAGGTGTATTAAGCCACTACTTGCATTTAAGACACTCTAAGTCTTGTACCAAGTTTCTGGCAGGTTCAAATAAACCCATTATCTACTTCCCCATAAGTATGGCCATTATACACTGACGGTTTGACATAAGCAATGTCAATCTAGTGTAAAACACAAGAGATAAATATTGCATTTGCAAAGCAAAATACTATCATGCCCAAAACCTATTCAGATATTGGCATTAGTCTGCTCTTGCATTTGTAAAAATGTCAAATTAAGGGGTAAGTGGTTTTCCTTCAATTATCTGTGGTCCCCAACTACAGAGATGTATGCCAGAGTATTTTCTCTAGTTCATATCCTCCATCCAATATATATTTCCCTTACTTTTGTTTTGCTTCATACTAACTTGCATTTTTCATATCCCCTTCGATTATTCATAACATACATTTTAAGTGACTTACTCGGTAATCACATTTTTAAAACATTTTATGCATGCTATTTTGACAAATGAGATCTTCTAACACTGCCTAAAAGTCTTTTTCTACTAAATGTCCATTAGTATCAGAGAACATGGTTGAAAGTGATGTCTTGGCCTGTTCCAAGAGAAGCTGATTCAACTTCGAGATGATTATAGCGTACATCATATTGTTGTGACAAAGCATCCTCTTAAATGGACTGGAGTTAACCAGCGTTTGTAACAACAAAACCTGGTGTCAGTTTTGGTACATATGAAAATTCTGAAATCAACATGCACCCAGTTATTAGTCACCATACACCTACAGTTGTTGTAAATCACCTTATATCCAGTTGTACATCTTGCAATTACTTGCAGTTGCACCCAGTTATAATTCACCTTGCACCAAGTGGCTCAACCAAGCAACCACTTGATAAGTTGGGGGATAATTACTTCCTGCGAAAGCTATGTCGATTTTGATATAATAGCTTTCCCATGGCCCACTTGGACAGCTGAATAATAGTGACCTTTAAAACATGAATAATGAGATCCAGGGCTTACTTTTGGTCTCTAACTGTGTCTTTCATTAGTATCATCAATCCGTGCAAGTATTGGAGCGCTGAAATACTTCTTTTTCGATCAAGACTTGTAAATTGTTCATCGAGTGAATGTTTTTTTCAACCTATTTCCAATTTGCCGGTTTGCTGGGAGTGAGATACACAACGAACGAAATGAATTTTGAGAATGAGGCAACCTCCAGAGATTTACGAAAATGTCCAAGCAGAAAACGCCATATTGGAATTTGGCAGAAAAAACATTCACTCGACTAACAATTACAAGTCTTGATCGAAAAGGAAGTCTTTCAGCGCTCCAATACTTGAACGGAAGAATGATAATGATGTATGACATAAGTTAAAGAACAAAAGTAAGCAGCAGATCAACTTGATTCATGTTTCAAAGGTCACTATTATTCAGCCGTCCATTTCACTGTTGGAGAGCAATAAGTTTCAAAATCTAACATGGCACGAGTAAGGAGGATAACACAGGACCAAAATCACTGAGTGGCCCTGTTTCCTAAACCTTACTCGAGTCTCTAGCTTACAGCTAGACGAAACTTCATTGATTTCGTATGTACTGTGCTACACGCAACTACACGCACCTAGAACTCATTTTTAATAAATTTTATAAATATGTTTAAGAATATTAATCATATTTAGGATGAAGCGTTGCTTGTCTGGATTTAGATATTTCAAAATTTCATTTCGGAGTTTTGACACATGGTGAAATTTTCTCGCTGTAGCTAAAAATGGCTTCCGGTTCTGGACGTGAATAACATTTGAAATTATTCTCGCTTAAAGAAATCAAATATAACAATAGATTCAGACGGGGATGTGAGCTGATGTTCTTCAAATCTATACATAAAGGTATATTTCATATTATTATGCCATATTTACTGTGCGTGTGACACAATGATTTACAATATTTATAATACTAAGGCAGCTCAATCTTCCTCCTCAAAGCCGGAATATAGAGAAGGCTTTGGACCGAAGTAACCTAAACCAAGCTGACTTGATGCACGACTGTGTAGCTAGTGAATAATCCATTTTGAAAAGCTGTGCACAGTATATAGATTTACTTGAATATATGCGTACATGAGGCATTGTATCATTCATAAAGCTACTTTGATATGAGAACTGCCTTTCTTCAGAGGATCTAAAATGAAAATGAATTTCAAAACAAACAAAACGAAGAAAATCTTTCCGGTGTCTTTTGTGTCCTCAGATGAGACTTAAAAGTGATTGAAGTTGACTCACCAGTTGGGACGGTTTCTCCTTGCATAGGTTCTTCCGTAATCTCTTGTTTGGTTTCTTCTTTAACCTCTTTCTTCGGTGTGCGAGAGCTAGCTCTTGTTCTTCGTCCTGCCATGATGCTTTATTGGTGTCGCGTTTATACAGTTGTGTCAGTTTGACTCCGAATTAAAATTTACGCCTGATAAAATATGTATAGTTTATCATATTTAATACTTACCATAATTATATATGAATCATAAAAATCTCATGGGATTTTGAAAAATATCAAACATCTTAAGCTATCTTAATAAAAAAAAATTGGAAAAATCTATTGTACGAAATAACATTTGGTGTCTCACAAGATGTCTAACATGGAGCCGTCAAAATGTGCCATGCGAGTGCGCATAACTTTGGCAATTATTGGAATATGCGTCGGATTAATTGTCTTTCCTATATTTACATTTCACTTTAAAAATGTTGATGCTGGTGTTTGGGGACTCGTTTCTGGTAATCATTTCTTATTTAACATATAAAATCTATTTGAAATGCAGACACTTTTTTTGTTGAAAGATCAGTTCCGGGTTTTTATTTTGTTATGAAAGTTCAAATTTTTATTTGAACAAGAGCTTTCAAAAATATGTTGGTTTCATTTGAGCAATTAAAAATAACCTTTGTTAACAATTTTTCAAATTCAAAATTATTGGGTCTTTGAACTCCAAACAAAACCCTGAGAACAGAAAAATCTTTTTTGTACAGTCTGTTACACTGCTTCAAAGGCAAGCAGTTGAACCTGAAAAATAAGAAATCTATCTCATTGTGCTATAATATTTAGAAAAATATATTCACATTGCACACGAATGACATTTGTATATTTCAGATTATTTAGTGTTTAGTGCAGTAAGCCTGTGCCCTCTTGTAATTTGAGTTCTGTCCGCCATGTTTTTTGAGAATTAACATGGTAGAGAAGCATCAAAATATAAAAGGTTACAGACTTTATGAGCCAATTTACAAGCAACCCAACATATACAAATATCATTCGTGTGCAATATGAATATATTTTTTTATATATTATTGCACAATATTATTTAGATTTCTTATATTTTAGGTTTAACTGCTTGCCTTTGAAGCAGTGTAACAGACTGCAGAATCCCATGGATAGACAACCGTCACAACATATTCCGAAACTTTTCATTTTACATACATAAAGTATATAACCCAATCAGATGAGGGAGGTTGGTGAGAAATTTTAAATACACTGTGCACAAAGTGGGCTCTTTATTGAATGGCCATGACTGGAACTACAACTGGAAGTGATGTCATTTTTGTCTGCTTCCAGGTATATTTGCTGCTATAACACTTGCGGTGCACATTCTGTACATACGCGGCGTCTGGAAAGTTTGGGGGTACCGACTGAGATTCTACATGCTCTTAGGCTGCTTCACTCAACTGGCTGGACTATGCGGCTTTGTTACTTATCTCACCATAGCTATTAGGGAGGACCAGGGTAAGACAACAGGACTCGAGGCTTTTAAAATACATGTACTAGGCTAGGTGGCATAGCTATATTTGTCTCATACATCTGACTGTACAATATATATATTTGACTTTCACCAAATAAAAGCAATTAATGCATGTTTTCTGTTCTTGAAAGCAAATGTGAAACATTTTTTTCACTCTGTTTTGACTTAAATATCTCCAAATTTGCCAAGAGTAATAACCATAAGAAACAGATGGGGCATCCGCATGATTCAAGTGTTGACATTTCATCAACAGTTATGTCTACATGTACTAATATGTTTTGGTGACTGGTCAAGGCTGTCAATGGTGATTTTGTCCTATCAGTAAGATTTTATGTGTATATATGCATGTATGAGATCTCAAAATAGTTAATCCATTCTGATTTATTAGTTTGTGCTAATTGACCAGACATACTGATGTTTTTGTTGTGTCTACCACTTAAGTCATCAAGTAAAAAGTCTAATATTTTGGCTTTAATTACTATGTTATCTCATAAATGCACTTGAACTTTTGTTCGTCTAGCTATTTCAGTGCTATTCATTTGTTAATCTGGTGTTGCAAACTAAATACATGTATAAAAAATCTTGCATGATTTTGTAAAGAAATATCTCCAGGGCGATGCTCGGGTCTATTGGACTTATGGGAATACCATTAAAGGCAGAATCAGATCTATAAGGGCTATAAGGGTGATAAAATCATAAGCAACATGTACAATGACCTATTCCCAATAATATTTCCAAAATTGTTTGTGATATGCTATCAAATGGGGAAGAAATTGTTAAGTGTGAAAATGTGGAAAATGTTTAAATTCTTCCAAATGATAAATATTATAACCATATTTATAGAAAAATGATACGATGTTGTAAAGATCTTTTGTTTTAAAATATGCACTTTGGGGATTTTTAGAAAATAGAAATGATATTAGCCAAGAATATTCTTATATTGAAACAATTTTTGTTTAGGTTGCCCATTAGGTCTGATTCTCCTTTTAAAGTCCTCTTTATTCACCTTGAAATTTTACTCAGCAGGAGTCTTTGATTCACAAAACAAATAGCATTCAAAATTTCTTGATAACATTACTTTATTTACCATCATGGGTGAAATAAATAGTAATAAATATGTTAATCATCATAGACTATAAAGAAAAATTATAAAAACAGCAATTGAAATGAGATTTTGAGTTTTTTGTTGAAATGTTCGTTTTAGGGTATGTCTGCCCTTCAATTGAAATGTTATGAAATACAGGTGTTATCTATTTATTTACCAGGCCCGTAAGACACTTTTCTCCAAGGGGGGTGCGGTTTTTAGCTTACTAAAGAGAATATAAAATTGTCATTTTTTTGCCGCGTAAATCAAATCGCGTAAGACAGAGGGGGGGGGGGTCAGTTACTCCCTATATTGGTTTGGAATTAACAAATGCATGCAACTTCCAAACGTCCCAATTGTTTTGTGGGGGGTGTGAGGAGTGGTCCACTCCCCCTAGAAAATTTTAGTTTTGAGATGCTATTTGGTGCTTTCTGGGCACTTTCAAAGTGTAAGTTTCTAAGTAGTACGCCATCACCACGGGAATAAGAGTTGAGTGAATAAAAAACCGAGCATTCAGGGGGGTCTGAAATTTCTGAAATTTGGTTGTATTTGGAGCGAATTTGCAACCATCTGGTACGCCTGTGCGTTATGAGTCAATAAGAAAAATGTGAATTTTTTTCAAATTCTTTTGGGGGTGTCAAAGAGGATGAGAGGGTGAAGTGGGGTGGGGTGCCAGTAGGGGAGCAAGGGGCTGTCCCCCAGAAACATTGACCATATCAAGGTGCTATTTGATGATGTCTGGGCACTTAAAAAATGTCTGAGACAATACATGAAATTCAGAATATTTTCTTTTGTTTTGTGGGGGATGTGAGGGGTGGCTAACTCTCCTAGAAAATTGTACAATTTAAAGATGATATTTGGTGCTTCTGGGCACTTTTAAAGTGTATTAGTCAATAAAAACATTGAAAAACAATCACAATTTTTTCAAATTTTGGGGGTGTCAAAGGGGGGGAGGGGTGCCAGAGGGGGAGGTGGGGCTGGGATGCCAGAGGGGGAGCAAGAATTTGTCCCCCATATCAAAATTTACAATATCAAGGTGCTATTCGATGAAGTTTGGGCACTTTAAAAGTGTCTGTGCTATAAAAGTGCCTATTTCCCAAGAAAATTTTACAATTTTAAGATGCTATTTGGTGCTTTCTGGGCACTTTCAAAGGGTATGAGTCAATAAAAGAATTTGGAAAATCTCAATATTTTTAGGGGGGTGTTAAGGGAGGGGGGCTGCCAGAGGGGGAGGTGGAGTGGGGATGCCAGAGGGCGAGTAAGTGTTAGTCTTCCAGAATCATTAACTCTATCAAGGAGCTATTTGATGATGTCTGGGCAATTTAAAAGTGTCTGAGACAATACATAAAACAAATTCAGAACTTTTCCATTGTTTTGTTTGGGGTGTGGGGGGTGACCCACTCCCCCTAGAAAATTTTACAATTTTACGACGCTATTTGGTGCTTTCTGGGTACTTTCAAAGTGTATGAGTCAATGAAAAAAAATTACAAAAAAAATATTTTTCAAAAAAAAACTTTTTTTTCAATTTTTTTTTCAAATTTATTTAATTTAATTTACACTTTCAAAGTGTATGAGTCAATAAAAGAATTTGAGATAATCACAATTTTTTTTGGGGGGGGGTCAAGGGGGGGGGCGCCAGAGGGGGGGGGGGTTATACAAGTGCAAGATGCAAGAGGGGGAGTAAGTCCCCCAGAAACACTAACTATATCAAGGAGCTATTTGATGATATCTGGGCACTTTTAAAGTGTCTGGGACAAAACTCTAAAATAAATTTAGAACTTTTCCATTGTTTTGTGGGGGGTGTGAGGGGTGGCCAATACCCCTAGAAAATTTTACAATTTTAAGATGCTATTTGGTGCTTTCTGGGTACTTTCAAAGTGTATGAGTCAATGAAAAAAAATTACAAAAAAAATATTTTTCAAAAAAAAACTTTTTTTTCAATTTTTTTTTCAAATTTATTTTGGGGGGTGACAAAGGGGGGTGCGGTCGCACCCATTGCACCCCCCCATCTGACGGCCCTGTTTACACTATTTACTTTTACGGCATTGTTATTGATAATGTGCATACACCAAGTTGAACAAAATTACTCATACAGATGTTAGTAATTGATTTTTGTTTTTTGATAGTTCAATGTTTAAAATGATTTGAGAGGCTAAAATATATGATCGTGTTCGTTATTGCAAATTCATTGACTAAATAATGAAAGTAAAATAAACATGAATTACACAACATACTTTTCATATTGCATATTGTACGTGTTGTATTATCTACCAAATCCAAGTTAATATTTAAAGAAAGTTGAAGTGGTTATTGAACACAATTAAGTGATGCCTCTCCATGTTCTCATTTAAAATATTTATTTAAAAAAATCCATTCATTTTAATGATTATGTGTTCACTTCTCTATATTTAAGATTTCACATTGTTGAACATCAAGTTGAAGAGCAAAATTACAAGCCATGCGCTTAGCTGAATTTAGATTTAGATAATAATAAGCAATTAAACTCATGTGATAAATAACTAATAACCTTTTTTCAATCTTCACATGATAGA